CTAAATGTTAAATATCAACATTAACATTCAATCTTAACACTAAATGTCAAATATTAATTTTCATATTCAATCTTAACACTAAATGTTAAATATTAACTTTCATATTCAATCTTAATACTAAATGTTAAATATTAACTTTCATATTCAATCTTAATACTAAATGTTAAATATTAACTTTCATATTCAATCTTAATACTAAATGTTAAATATTAACTTTCATATTCAATCTTAATACTAAATGTTAAATATTAACTTTCATATTCAATCTTAATACTAAATATTAAATATCAACATTAACATTCAATCTTAACACTAAATGTTAAATATCAACATTAACATTCAATCTTAACATTAAATGTTAAATATTAACTTTCATATTCAATCTTAATACTAAATGTCAAATATTTATTTTCATATTCAATCTTAATACTAAATATTAAATATCAACATTAACATTCAATCTTAACATTAAATGTTAAATATTAACTTTCATATTCAATCTTAATACTAAATGTTAAATATCAACATTAACATTCAATCTCAATACCAAATGTCAAATATTAACTTTATTATTTAATATTAAAATCAAACGTTACCATATTTATTATTTAAAATTCATACTAAACGTTACATATTAATATCAGTATTTAATATTAATAGCCCAATTAATTACCAATGTTTTGACGACGTTTCAAATTAAACTTTAATTCACAATTTACATAATCTATGAATTAATATTGTTTTATAAACATGACTCTTATATTCGAAATATATTAACTTGTACATTGAATACTTAATTATAAATATCGTTTTAATTATGTTAAAGAAAGGTTCTTATAATTTTTAATGTAGTCTTTCCAAACGTTATTTGTAGAAGTCTAATTTTAGTATCACAAAAAGAAGATTTTCGACGATACAAATGCAGGAAACTGGCGTCACAATGATCTTTGAATATTCACAAGTTACGTCACTGGTTTCATTAATTCAGCGTTGAATCCTGTCGGTGATTCATTATTGTAATATATTAATAAAATTAAACGAGTAATTTTACAAACATTTTTCTTATTTACAAACATAACGCTTTGTTTAAACAATCATTCTATAATTAATCTAGTTCAATTTTTAAAATAATTTTAAAGTGAAGTATTTGTGCTAACATTGTTGAACTCGCTGAAGAAACATGAATTTTAACAGTTTAGCTTTAAAAACAATTTTAAAATAAAATATCTGACTACTAACATTTTTGAACTCAATGAAGAAACATGAATTTTAAAAATTTAATTTTAGAAATAATTTTGAAATAAAGTATCTGTGCTAACTTTGTTGAACTCAATGAAGAATCATGAATTTTAAGAGTTTGACTTTAAAAATAATTTTAAAATAAAATATCTATACTAACATTGTTGAACTCAATGAAGAAATATGAATTTAAAAAATTTAATTTTAGAAATAATTTTGAAATAAAATATCTGTACTAACATTGTTGAACTCAATGAAGAAATATGAATTTTAAAAATTTAATTTTAGAAATAATTTTGAAATAAAATATCTATACTACTAACATTGTTGAACTCAATGAAGAAACATGAATTTTAACAATTTAGTTTTAAAAATAATTTTGAAATACAATATCTATACTAACATTGTTGAACTCACTGAAGAAACATGAATTTTAAAAATGATTTAAAAATACAATATGTGTGCTAACATTGTTGAACTCAATGAAGAAACATGAATTTTAACAATTTAGCTTTAAAAATAATTTTGAAATAAAATATCTATATTACTAACATTGTTGAACTCAATGAAGAAACATGAATTTTAACAATTTAGTTTTAAAAATAATTTTGAAATACAATATCTATACTAACATTGTTGAACTCACTGAAGAAACATGAATTTTAAAAATGATTTAAAAATACAATATGTGTGGTAACATTGTTGAACTCAATGAAGAAATATGAAAGGAACAAGAAAAACTTGATAATCACAGTTAGTAGGCAAATAGTTCATTTAACCTGACATCATCAACTATTAATACACAACTCAGTTTAGATCAATCTTGTAATAAATTACATGCCTCGTGTAACTGCTTATTCAAATATCTTTAAATGTTCTTTCAACAGTGTTGAAAGTGAAACATGCTGTCGTTTTTAAAAAAGGAGACAAGTTAATGTACTCTTGGAATGTTATGATAATTGAACGAGACAAATGTAGAAGCTTTGAGATATTGTGTAATTAATGTACGGTAATGGTAAAGCAAAGTTTCAGTTTTTACTGTTTTATATTTAGTGTTTTATGTACAAACAAATACAAAGTTATAACAGAGATGCAAACTGTTTGTTTTGGCTAATAAAAGTTAGGTTATGTAATCTCAAAACAAAACATGTTTATCGAAAAATTAACACGGTGTGTTTAAATTGTATTTGCACAGTTTACACAATTCCTCCATTTGCAAAATAAAATACAATTACTAATTACTAATTTAAAAGTAGTCGAAGGCAAAATTTTATTTAGAAATCTTAACAATAATTGTTGATGCAAAATAAAATGCTTGAGTGAGTTTATTGAGTGTAAAATTTATTTTAAGACGATAAAATGTTTCTCTCAAAAATGAACAATTTGAGCTCGCGAGACACTTAAACCCACCCCTCAATCTTTATTTTTAGAGGAAAATCGATCAGGAACTCAATATTTGAGAAACCATAGAAACCATAGAAACCATAGAAACATAAAATTCTTTAATGAAATGCTTGCTTTAAAAATTGTCTTTTTTTGTCATTGCATTCACAACCCTTAACTTTCATTTAAAGGAAATCAATCACAAACTTGGAATTTTTATAAAAAACACTGGAAACAACTAATATTTGCTAATATTTGAGAATAAAATGAAATGCAGAGTAAACTTTTTGTTAAACCACCATCACAATGAAATTAATTATTTTTTTTTAAATATTGTGATCCTACCCTCTGTTATTGTGATCTTTCATTCAAGAACCACATCGTGTCGTTAATCTTTTCTTGAAGTTACAAAGGAAATAAGATAATTTTTATGTGTAAATCATAATTAGAATAAAGGTATTCACTCTTAAGATTATCAAACTACCCTTATGTCATATCTAAACAGTTTCATTAATCTTTTAGTAAAAAATCCTATTACAAATCTCATAAATGTTTCCTCAAACTAAATTTGAAGGAGCACAATTTTCTCTTGTAAATCAAAATTTCAATTAAACTATATATTCACCCTAAAGACTACCAATGCACCCTTAAATCAAATGCAAGCATTCATGTCAATATTTTATCTAGAAACCCCATCACAGATCTCTCAAATGTTTCCTCAAACTAAATTCGAAGGAGCACAATTTTCTCTTGTAAATCACCCTTAGAGTAATACTGCATATTCCCCCTAAAGACTACTAATGCACCCTTAAATTATATGCAAGCATTCTTGTCAATATTTTATCTAGAAACCCCATCACAGATCTCTCAAATGTTTCCTCAAACTAAATTTGAAGGAGCACAATTTTCTCTTGTAAATCAAAATTTCAATTAAACTACATATTTACCCTGAAGACTACCAATGCACCCTTAAATCAAATGCAAGCATTCCTGTCAATATTTTATCCAAAAACCCCATCACAGATCTCTCAAATGTTTCCTCAAACTAAATTTGAAGGAGCACAATTTTCTCTTGTAAATCACCCTTACAGTAATACTGCATATTCACCCTAAAGACTACTAATGCACCCTTAAATCAAATGCAAGCACTCCTGTCAATATTTCATCCAGAAACCCCATCACAGATCTCTCAAATGTTTCCTCAAACTAAATTCAAAGGAGCACAATTTTCTCTTGTAAATCACCCTTACAGTAAAACCACAAGTTCACCCTAAAGATGAACCCACCCTCACACCAAAAGCAAAAACCTCTCAAAACCCCAACCAAACGTCCTAACCGACCAAACCTCCCATCACAAATGTCACCCAAAAATCACAACCATTCTCCAACCAACCAAAAACTATAAAATTACAAATCCCAAACACAACAGATAAAATTAACTTACGCAATTCCCGAGCGGACGTCGCAGAGAAGATCGTCGCAAGGACCAACACAGCCGTCACAGCATTCATCTTCATTTCTCAAAAATTTGTTAACAAGAAGTGAAAAATTTGTTAACGATACTGAACGTGATTGGAAGACGTCGAAAACAGCAGCAGGGTTGTCACCCACGAACGATCAGAAGGCCGGACTTGAAATGAACACGGTGGAGGTCAGCCCCAAGTCCTTATAGATCCACCTTGATCCCCCCTCTGTCCGGTTGTTCCTCGTTGTTCGTCGATGATACCCGCTCCAGAGCATCCAGATCAACGTGATGGAGTACATCACGAATTCTGGACATGTGATTCGTGGTTACATGTGCAATTCCGAGTGTGCGTGTGCGTGTGCATGTGGGTGTGCACGCGTCTCGTACGGAAGTTAGGTTGGGAACATGATGAGGTGTGATTTTAACTGGTTTCGAAGAAGTTATGTATATGTGCTTTTTGTAGTTGGGTGTGTGGTAAGTGGTTTTTAGGTTGGAGATTTATTTTAGACGTTAATTGGGACTGGTGTTTTTTTGATGTCGGTGAGTTTAGAGGTTAGAAGTTGAGGTGGGGGTTGGATGGAGTTTTATTGGTTTCTTTTAGGGTTATTTTGGGATTAGTGGAGATTGTTTTACTGTTTTATTAGTTCAGTGTTTTAGTGTTTTAGTAGTTTACTAGTTTTCTATTTTAGTATTTTTCTAGTTTATTACTTTAGTACTTTACTATTTTATTATTCTTCTAGTTTAATACTTTACTAGTGTAATAGTTTACTAGTTAAATATTTTACTAGTTTAATACTTTACTAGTTAAATATTTTACTTGTTTAATACTTTACTAGTTTAATACTTTGCTAGTTAAATACTTTGCTATTTTAATACTTCTCTAGTTTAATACCTTACTAGTTTAATACTTTACTAGTTTAATACTTCACTAGTTACATACTTTACTAGTTTAATAATTTAATAGTTTAATAGTTTACTAGTTTAATACTTTATTAGTTTAATACTTTACTAGTTTAATACTTTACCAGTTTAATACTTTAGTAGTTTAATAATTTACTAGTTTAATACTTTACTAGTTTAATACTTTACTAGTTAAATACTTTATTGGTTTAATACTTTACTAGTTAAATATTTTACTAGTTTAACACTTTACTAGTTTAATACTTTACTAGTTTAATACTTCACTAGTTTAATACTTTACAAGTTTAATACTTTACTAGTTTAATACTTCACTAGTTTAATACTTTACTAGTTTAATACTTTACTACTTTACTACATTACTACTTTACTGCTTTACTATTTTATTATTTTACTACTTTACTACATTGCTACTTTACTACTTTACTACTTTACTATTTTATTATTTTACTATTTTACTATTTTATTATTTTGCTATTTTACTATTGCACTATTGCACCATCTAGTTACACCATTAATTTAATATTTTACTATTTCACTATTGCACTATTTCATTATTTCATTATTTTAATATTTTATCATTTCACTATTGTACTATTTCATTATTTCATTATTTTAATATGTTGTTATTTCACTATTACACTATTTCATTATTTCAATATTTTAATATCTTATCATTTCACTATTGCACTGTTTCATTATTTCATTATTTTAATATTTTACTACTTCACTATTGCACTGTTTCATTATATCCTTACTTAAATATTTTACTACTTCACTATTGCACTGTTTTGTCATTCCATCATTTCAATATCCTACTACTTCACTATTACACTATTTCATTATTCCATTACCTCATTATGTCATTCTCCCAACACTCAAAACAATATGCAAAAATAATAATGTTTATATCGATTATAATTTTATGAAGACATAAGTACACGTTTTCTATGCGTACAATGTACATCCTATAATCGTTATTCAAATTATCGGAAGTTATTATTCCGTTCACCTAGAAATTACGATTAGATACATTTTACAAAAACTAAGGATCTTTTCTTGCAAAGGACACGTGTACGTACGCCCTCGAAGATCGTTTAGTCATTCTGAAAGAGCAGTTCTCTGTTCAACCACTAATTAGTATGTAAAGCAAACCTCCTAATGCGTATGGAGCGTGCAAATTTTTATTAAAAACATGAGAATATATTATTTATAATTCGCATATTACATATTTGAGGCATACTCGCATATCTTTCTGAATATTCATGTATCTTGCATTCTTCTTCGTGAAGGCATTTAACTGACAACTCACGATTGTAAATTTTTTATCGAAACGTAGCTTAATTATAATTTTAATTGAAGTGACAAGTAAAAATGTGGTTCTGAAGATCTATGAAATCTAAAAAAATCTGAAAAACTGAAGAAAAGTGAATAAATATGAAAAATATATAAATTTGATTCCAAAAATCTAAAAAAGCTAAATAAACCTAAAAATTTCATTCCAAAAATCTAAAAAATCTAAGTAAACCAAAAAAAATCTTAAAATATCTACAAATCTGATCCTGAAAATCTAAGAAATATAGAAAAATCGAAAACGTCTAAAGAATCTAAAAAAATCTAAAAAACTAATTCCAAAAATGTAAGAAATCTAAAAAATTAATTCCAAAAATCTGAAAAATCCAAAAACTTTATTCCAGAAATTTAAAAAATCTAAGTAAACCTAAAAAAATCCTAAAATATTTCAAAATGTGATCCTGAAAATTTAACAAATCTAAAAAAATCGAAAACGTCTAAAGAATCTAAAAAAATCTAAAAAACTAATTCCAAAAATGTAAGAAATCTAAAAAATTAATTCCAAAAATCTGAAAAATCCAAAAACTTTATTCCAGAAATCTAAAAAATCTAAGTAAACCTAAAAAAATCCTAAAATATCTCAAAATCTGATCCTAGAAATCTTACAAATCTAAAAAATCTAAAACGTCTAAAAAATCTAAAAAAATCTAAAAAATGAATTCCAAAAATCTAAAAAGTCTAAAAAATGAATTCCAAAAATCTAAGAAATCTAAAGAATCCAAAAAATCAAATTCTAAATTATTAAAACAACTCCATTCACAAAAATAAACCACAAAAAATACTAAAAATCATTCGAAAATTTAAAAAAATATATAATTATGTTACGGTATAAGTAAAGTACATAATACAATTGGCCATAAAAATGAATTAATAACAAAAGCTGTCTGTCATCAACGTGTTAATGAATAACGAAGAGTAAATTACAAATGTTGATCACGTATCACGAGATACACGACCATCGCGTACATTGAGAATAACTCGAAGGTCTGCGAACTGCTTTAATTGCCGTTTCACGAGATTTAGTGTAAAAGGGACTTGAACGTTGATCTTGAACCTTGAACACGCGATGGTGACGCGTTTCCTGGCGATTAAACGTTTTATGGTGTTTTCTTGTGTTAAAAGTACGAGATGCTGATTTTTAAGTTCAACTATCTTGTTTTTGTGACGTCATTGAGGCATAAGTACGTACGTTGGTATAATATTAAGGCCACGATATGTTTTTGTGGGGAAAATGAAGACGGAGGGGAGAACGGTGTTGTTTCAGTTTTTTAATTTTTAGATGACAAGTTTGGAAAACAAATTTAATTTTTAGATGACTTTGGGAGAAGGGAGTTGTCAAGTTTGATGTGTAAGTAGTGTTTAGATTTTGAAATTTGAGAAATTGGGGAATTTGGAATTTGGAGATTTAGGGATTTTGGCATTTGAGAAGTTGGGAATTTAAGATTATGGGAATTTGAGAATTTGGGGATTTAGGGATTTGGAAATTTAGGAATTTGGAGACTTGAAGATTTGGAGTTTTGGAAACTTAGAAATTTGAGAAATTAGGAAATTCAGAATTTGGGGATTTAGGGATTTGGAAATTTAGGAATTTGGAGACTTGAAGATTTGGAGTTTTGGAAACTTAGAAATTTGAGAAATTAGGAAATTCAGAATTTGGGGATTTAGGGATTTGGAAATTTAGGAATTTGGAGATTTGATGATTTGGAGCTTTGGAAATTTGGAAATTTGGAAATTTGAGAAATTTGAGAAATTAGGGAATTCAGAATTTGGGGATTTAGGGATTTTGGCATTTGAGAAGTTGGGAATTTAAGATTATGGGTATTTGAGAATTTGGGGATTTAGGGATTTGGAAATTTAGGAATTTGGAGACTTGAGGATTTGGAGTTTTGGAAATTTGGAAATTTGAAAATTTGAGAAATTGGGGAATTCAGAATTTGGGAATTTAGGGATTTTGGCATTTGAGAAGTTGTGAATTTAAGATTATGGGAATTTGAGAATTTAGGGGTTTAGGGATTTGGAGATTTAGGAATTTGGAAACTTGAGGATTTGGAATTTTGGAGTTTTGGAAATTTGAGGAATTGGGGAATTCAGAATTTAGGGATTGAGGGATTTTGGCATTTGAGAAGTTGGGAATTTAAGATTATGGGTATTTGAGAATTTGGGGATTTAGGGATTTGGAAATTTAGGAATTTGGAGACTTGAGGATTTGGAGTTTTGGAAATTTGGAAATTTGAAAATTTGAGAAATTGGGGAATTCAGAATTTGGGAATTTAGGGATTTTGGCATTTGAGAAGTTGTGAATTTAAGATTATGGGAATTTGAGAATTTAGGGGTTTAGGGATTTGGAAATTTAGGAATTGGAGACTTGAGGATTTGGAGTTTTGGAAATTTGGAAATTTGAAAAATTAGGGAATTCAGAATTTGGGGATTTAGGGATTTTGGCATTTAAGAAGTTGTGAATTTAAGATTATGGGAATTTGAGAACTTGGGAATTTAGGGATTTGGAAATTAAGGAATTTGGAGACTTGAATATTTGGAGTTTTAGAAATTTGGAAATTTGAGAAATCAGGGAATTCAGAATTTGGGGATTTACGGATTTTGGCATTTGAGAAATTGGGAATTTAAGATTATGGGAATTTGAGAATTTAGGGGTTTAGGGAATTGGAAATTAAAGAATTTGGAGACTTGAGGATTTGGAGTTTCGGGAATTTGGAAATTTGAGGAATTGAGGAATTCAGAATTTAGGAATTAAAGGATTTTGGCATTTGAGAAGTTGGGAATTTAAGATTGAGAATTAAAATTGAGAATTTGGAGGTTTGAAGATTTGAGAATTAGGAGGTTTAGGGATGTGGAGATTTAAAAATTTGGAAACTTGAGAATTCAGAGCTTTATAAATTTGAAAATATGTAAATTTGTAGATTTTATGATCTAGAAATAACTGCTTGTAATACTCCAAATATTACAAGAATTCATATATTAATAAATTAAAGAGGACACTTTTGTTTTTCATCGCTATATGTAGATACAAACAAGACATAACAGGAATGTTGAGTACTTTGA